CCTACATTCCCAGGACAAAGAGGGGTCAGGTTTTATGGAACAGATAGCATCCTCTGTCATCTTCACCAAAGCCTGCCCCTCCTTCAATTATTCTGGTAAATTCTTTGGTTAGGAAATCATATTTTTTTCTTTTTTGGGTGAAGAAGTGGATTTTATTTTTGTTTGTGTTAGCTCCAAAAGACTTCTTGAGAAGCACTTGAATCTCCTTGAGTACTCTATATTTCAGTTCAAATTATTGTCTGTCTCTTTTAGGAGTTCAGTTTTGTTTGAAGTATTTTGTTTGTTCTGACTGATCTTCCTCTCCCTGGGCTATCAGGCCCTTATGGATGTTTGGGGATTTTTTTCATTTTTTTCCTCTCAGGGGAAACTCAGGAATATAGTAAATTGTAAAGTATCAAAGTGATGAAAGTGGCACAAATATTGGAGGCCTCTCTGGTGGTCCACCAGCAGTGTAGAAGTCCTTGCTAATGCACCTGTCATTTCCTCCCACATTGGGTACATGGAAGAAGTCTGAGGATGGCCTGATTCTCTTCCTTTATTTAAAAATATATATATTTCTCCTTTGGAAATCAATGAAAACTAGGCCCACAAACGTTGATCTAACACTCATTTCCACTAATCTCTAAGACTCCAAGCTCTCTATAGATTGCAGTGATTAAGAGTCTAGGTCAAAGCTCCTTTTGATGGTCTTAGACACATGCCTCACCAGAAGTGGAGAAGCACCTTCTTTCCACCCAGCCATTCCATGGATCCCAGCAGTCATCTGAATCAGGAGACAGACAATTTGGATGGAATAGGTAATGGAAGGGAAAAACACCCAATTCAGGTCACGCTCTTCCTAGACTCTCCTGTCTTGAATCTCTTATATTAACCTGAGGAGACATTTTTTTTCCCAGCAGCAAAGATTCAGGGTTAATATTTTAAATGCCATCTGCTTGTCCCTTGGTGTTTAATGAAAAAATATACAAGCAAAATGCACAAAATGATTTTATGGTACTTTTGAAAGAGATGTACTTGCATTCACCCCAAGTATTTATATTAACATAAATTCAAATATTGATTAATCAGATTCTATTATGTTTACTTTGGTAAATAGCTATGAACCATTATAACTGACATTAACTCCATGAAAAGGACTATGCCATTTTTTTTCCTTTTCAACACTGTAAGTAGATGAAACAAATCTTCTGAAATTTCACTTGTATTATCAACACATTAAAAAAACACACTTCTGACTAAAATGTTTGACTTATCATAAAGTCTAAGGAATTATCAATTGAAATTAATGAGATTTTGTTCTGAAGATAAAATTTTAATGGAATTGTATATAACAATAATAATATTCATATATCCTCATATTGGATTTTAGTAACCAGTACTTCCAAGCTCTATTTGTACTAATTACTTTCTAGAATAATCCTGAATAACAAAAGCATTTTCTGTTCTCTATTATTTTAACAGTCATTCATTGTAACTTAAATGGCTTGAAAATGTCTTATTTGCCCTGGAATGAAGGGGAAAGCTTAGAAAGAACTGAAAGAGCTATTATTTTGACTTGAACAAAAATTACCCTTTATGATCCCTTCACAACTCACTGTTACTTACAATCCAGGGTCTGATAAAAAAGAAGAGACAGGTAGTAAAAAGAACTGAATGAAACTACCTCTTTTTACCACTGAATCAAAACTTCAATTCCAAAGGCCAAATGACTGCTGTATTTATTATTCAATAATTGTAATTTCTAATAATGACTCCAAATTTTGTAACAGTCAGGCCACTCATTTTTTTCCAGGAAGCTTGCCATAATGGAATTACCTTTCAATTTGCAAACTGTTATTATTCAATAGTACTAAAACACTCATACTGCGTAGATTAATTTGCACAAGCTACCATCACTTGCCACTTACAAAAATACAAATAACAAATTACATATTTTAAAACTGCATTTGAATTTGAAAATATGTCCAATATCACTCATTGTTCTGAATAGAAAGAACTACCTGTGGTAACTGGGTAAAAATATGACTGCTTATATCTCATATGTTTTCTAATAAGAGAATTTCATGTGTGAAAAAAATCTAAGTGCTTATAATTATAAGGACTATTTTTTGTAAAAAATAATTTGAGAAAAGGTCGAGTAAATTGTAGCGCTCACATAAAATTTAGGTTCTATATTTGTGAGGTAACAACTAGTTTGTGCCAGATATTGGGAACATTGATAGTCTACAGAACAATGTGGCTTGGGGGGCAGGGGGTTCCCTGTGCAGAGCAAGTTCCTTATGAATTCAGTGAGACCGAATGAAGGCAAGGGCAAGAAGTTGGAGGTTCCCAAAGGAGCACCACATTTATTCACAGTGGTGCTGCTGCTTCCTGCTCCCCAGCACAGGCTTAATCCTCTCGTAGCGCTGGAGCTGCACGGCTTGTAAAAACTGCCACTGTCTCCTAGTTTCCACTCCTGGCTTCCCTTTTCTGCTATCCAAGCTCTCTGCTCTCATGCTCCCACCATTCTCTCCCTGTTCTCTGTGTTCTCTGCTTCCCCACCCGAAGCAGCAGGAGGAACTCTATGGGTAGATCTCTGGTGACTGGCAGATGCCTGACCAATTACATACCAGGAACTGAGGAGAGGAAAGAATGGGTGTTTACTCTCCACCCCTCCCCTGGGCCAGTACTCCCATGACTGACCAGCTGCTTGTCCCCAGTAAACATTCCACAGATGTGCAAACAAGCTTTTATATATATATACAATGGCTGCTATTAAGGACAGGTGGGAATCATGGAGAAAGTTTCATTTTCTCCACAGACAGGCAAAATCTAATGGAGAAATAAATATATCCATCAATTATTACAGCCTAATATGATGAGTTACAATGAAGGTATAATGGCAATTAGTACTCTATTAGGTAACATTAATTAGTGCTGTAGGGGCATAAAAATTTTACCTTCTTCCCTTCTAGGCTCTTTAGCTGGTCTATATAATAACTTAATTGATGTAAGACAGATTAAGAGGAGAAAAACAAAAGTTTACTAAAAACATGTACACATGGAAGAGACCCAGAAAAGCAGAGTAACTCCAAAATGGCCAAAGCCATAAACTTGAAATACAGTAGTCCTCCTTTATCCATATGGTTTATGTTCCAAGACCCCTAAAGGATACCTGAAACCACAGATGATACCAAACACTAAATATATTATGTCTTTTCCTACTATGAAGAAGTTCAATTCATACATTAAGTGCAGTAAGAAACTAACAATAATAAAAGAGAACAATGTAACAATATGCTGTCATAAAAGTTATAATAATACAGTGGTCTTTCACAAGATTTTTTATTGTACTGTACTCACCTTTCTTCTGTGATATGAGATGGTAAAATGCCTATGTGATGAGACGAAGTGACATGAATGACATAGGCATTATGACAAAGCTTTAAACTACTAGTGATCTTCTGACAATCATCAGAAGGAGAATCATCTTCTTCCAGACCAATGCTGACTGCAGGTAACAGAAACCATGGAAGGCAAAACCACAGATAAGTGGGGAACTACTATGCCATCTTCAGCTAAAGACAAATGAAGATATAGGGGATGGGGAGTCAGTTATGGAAGATTACCAGGGCAAACTCAGAGGCAAGAGTAAGGGTGTTATGCAGATTTAAGTCATCATCTTCTCCACTGATAAAGAGCTTCCAGAGTTGCTAGAAGATCCACCTCTTCCTACTACAACTAGGGGGACACCTTTACAAATCGAGAGCCCCTTATACATATAAATATCTCTACAAAAGAACTTCTTGGTTTATCAGAGGTTCTCCAGTGTTAGCACTTAAAAAAAAATAATCAGCTTAAAATAATTCTTATGCCAAAAAGATATATTTTGGAGTGGTAAATTCTGCTCTCCTTCAGTGGCTTTATAAGAAAAATTTCAAAATCTCAGTGGCTTAACACACTGAAAGTGTATTTCACGCTCTCACAATGGTCCCATGCAGGAGTTGCTCACTCCCCTACAACCAATAACTTGGGGAACCTGGCCTTCCTTTTCCCAACAGCCCTACCATCTTCAACTCACAGCATCTGATATCTCCTTGAGGGAGTCTTTAAACTGGCCACCATAAAGTAGAAAACAGCATGCAGAATGACAACTGAGAGGAACTTAGGGCCATGCCTGACAGTATACACATTATTTCCATTCACATCCTATGACCATATAAAACAAGTAAGGTTGAGAAATGTTTTGTTGTGTGACAGAAAGAAATGTATTTGGCATTTTACAGCAAGATCTGCACAAAAGCATAGACCTTGAATAAAAGGAATAAACTGAAATTTTTGCAGGAGCATTAATTCTACCAACTTTTCAGAGACATGGTCCACTTAGCAATGCATTGTGAAGAACATTCCAGGCAGCATTAATAGCTGTGTAAATACAAGGACACATGGAATATTGTGGGGTATTGGTGGAAGAGTAGGTTGCACAGTATGACTAAAGCACAGGATACAAGGGTAGTGGAACATGAAACTGGAAAACCAGGCACTAGACCATTTAGTTCATCTCCATAAACTTACTGAATGTTTTCAAAATGTTTTATATACTTCTAGAAGTTAAAATAAGGAATAAACCTGAAGTACAAACTTCACCGTCAAGATGTTTTCAGTTCAATGGAGATCATAAAAAAGAGGACCTTGGTAAAGAAAAAACTAGACTCTAGACATACTTAAGAGACGAATCAATAGGACTTTGTGTCTGATTGGATGGAGGGTGGCAGGAAAGGTCAAAGAAATAGAATGGTGGTAAAAAAGAGAAATATAAAACAAATTTCACACTTCCCATTTAGGATACTTGGGTCACCAGGAGAGAAATATAGGAATAGAAATAAAGTTGTGGATGGGTAGGATCAGTTAATAAAGTTATTTTTAAACTTTTTGAGCCCCAGGAACATATGGGACATTCATGTGATGACTAATGAGTCTTAAAATTCACATATACAGGCGTGATTAAAATTTTATTCTCCTAACTTTAGCAGTACACATATTAAAATTGGAACAATACAGAGAAGATTACCATGGGCCCTGTGCAAAAGTCACACAAAAATTCATGAAGTATTCCAATTTTTTTTTAAGTTTTTTTTGTTGTTGTTCAGGTTCAGCTGCCTAGAATTGGGCTCCATCATTTATTTCTGACTCTTGACTATATGTGCAGCATCTCCTACTTAAATCCTTCTGTTGGTCAATAAACATTTTTTTATTATATAATAAAAAAGCAACCTTCCCATAAAACCTCATGTATTTTTCAGTACATTGGATAATAGACCTAAAAAAGAAAAGGACTTCCTCACTTCTGTCCATTCAGATTGCTGTCCAGTCACAAGAATGAAACTACTTTTCTTATTGTATGCCATGAGTGATCTTCTAATTGACAAAACTAATAGATTGTTTTCATTCAGCCTACCAGGTGTCTTTGGATGTGGCATTGTTTGACCATCCCCCTCTAGTTAATAATAATGTGTGTGATAATGATGCTGTCTCCTGGTGTTCTCATTAACTGAGTCTTCTCTGTTTTCTTAAATGACTCCTTTTCTCTCCCTGTTACTGAGCCACTGGAAAAATCAATCATCAAGGCACTGGTCTTCTACAGGGTGAAATTATAGGTGGCCTAAGGAGGCAGGACACAGGAGACAAGGGTTAAATCTGTCTCCCCAACCTCAGATGGAGTACAGAATTTATACAGGAGGCTATGTATATTTAGCAGAGGTGGGCAAGACTTTTCTCCTGCCCCGGCATGCTACTACCTACACTGTATGCTCAAAAACAGCACTAAACTCCACCCACAGGTGGAGATTTTAGTAGGGTAATAAAGAAAAGGTAACTTCAGGTCATTGGAAATCTGTTCTGCACAGGCTCAGGTGAGGGTCAGTGGGTTTGACCAGTTGGACTGGTCTGGCTCCAAGGGTCTTGAAAAAATCAACTCGTGACTTCATCTTAGGAAAGACAGAACAGAAGGAGGTAATGAATTTTTTAAGAATGCAGTGAGTAACAGGGGCAGGAAAGGACTTTTGCTTTTATAATTAGAAGGCCGTGGTTTCAGTCCTCCCTATTCTTTGGTCATTCCTCAAGCTTGAGGGATTTGGGGCATCAACCGTCCTGGCTACTTCCTGCTGGACAGGGCCAAAGTTAGAGGTTTGGGAGTGAAACTGTTTAGCACTTAGTTGGAAATATTCCCTAGTTACCTGGATCGGCACCTGTATCTTGCATAACTAATACGTTAGTTCACTCTTCAACCATTTTGGTACATTTAATGAAACATTTAAATTTTAGGTACCAAAAGAATAAGAAGTAATGATGTTCCAAAATTTAACATTTTCTGTAACATAACCTAATCCCCTGTGAAATCCAAGAAAACCCTCTAAACCAGTCACCTCCTGGGGTTTCAGCAGATCTCTGCTGTATATGAGACAACTGGCCTGTTGTCTGATTTTTTTTTGCAGATGGGTTCCACCCTTGGAGGAGGTGTTGACATAAACACAGCATGAGATGTTGGCCACCACACATACCTCCTTGCTCTTCCAATATATAATCTAAAGCTATCCGGTTGTCTAAGACTACTCAGGCCAAAGAGTTTGATGATTTTTGTTGGGCTACAATGGCTAGAGCAGTTTCACTGGCTAGTACACCTAGGGTAACTAACAGATTTCTAATCATATGTTCCTGGGAACCTACTCCCCACCATGATGGGAGAGTTCTCCCAAATAAAAAACCAGAATCTATCTTCTTGGTCAGCAGGTAGACTACATTTAGCTCCAGAAAACAGTTTAAAGAACTGGCCAGAATTGGCTCTAAAAGCTTGCTGGTTTCCACAGGGTGATGGATGGATAGAGGAGTGACCAAATATCCCAATAAGTGGGTGCCTCCTATCCTCTAACTATCTTAGCAAGTATAGGACCAAGGAGCTCCTTGGTGGCCTCCAAAAACAAACACCTCCAAAATCCCAGGGTGGGAGGTGGAGGTAGGAATCCAGATAAATTATGAACACTGAGATCTGCATTTTGTGGTAAGGCTTTGGGGACTGGGTAAAACCATGGGTCTATGGATGGTGGTTTTTGTGCTTCAGGGGCTTGTACAATTTTAAGGAGTTATTTGATTTGCTGAAATCCAAGATAAAACCCCTTACAACAAGCTTATAAAAAGCTTATAGGAGAAATGGGGACTATAATCATTAGACATGAGTCCATAATATGCCGGACAGAAGGTCATTAACAAATTCAGGCAAGGTATTTCCAAGAGGCAGAAGTCCCATAGGATTGGCCATCTCCCCAACAGTATTTGTTTGAAGTGCCAAAGGGAAATGATAAATTGAAGAGTTCATTAATTATATTTGCATTGACAGGTTCTGAGAAGTCCATGACCTGAGGTTATAATCCAAAGCCTCGGGCAATGGAATTAAAAAGAAACAAGGAGGAAGAGATGTATGGCCTTGTATTGCTACTCTTACTCAGTAAATTACACTAGCAGGATTTCTATCATACACAGGGTGAAATCAGGAACAGCAGAGAAGTTTGTTACAGACATATTTAAGGGATCAGTATGATCATATACAGACAGGGGTTTTGGATGACATATCCAGCATTTCATAAGATGTTCTGCCTTTGCTAAAGTTTGAGGAATTCTTGTCAAGGAATTCTCTTTCCAGGTCAGGGTCAGGGAGATAAGGAAAAGGGAGCAATAAACAAAGTAAGGCACATTTTGCCAACACTGGCAATTAGTTTGTAGAAATAAGTTATTTGAGTCTAAAAATACAAGAACTATTAACTCTTTACCTTACATTTTAATTATCTCTACAAAGAAAATGATTCCATCCTTCAGGTAACACAGTTTCATAACCAGATATAAAAGTAAAGCAAAACGAGCAAACAATTCTATCAGACTAGCAAGAATCTGAGTGCCGTTCATCCTAATGTACTCCTTGTGACTTCCAAAAAGCAACTTAAGATCAGTTAAGTGTTCACTTCATAGCAGGAAGTGGAAAAGTCACAATCAGGGTCCACCGCCAACCCACATTCAGATGATGCTTTATGATACTCACTTGTGTAGCTCCCATTCCATTCTACCTCAATGGAGTAATCTTGGCAGTTTGGTGAGCTGGACAGTGACTAACTTGACTCTTGCATGGTACACCCCAGGCTTAACTCCCTTCAGCTTTACAGACAAGTAAGCTACCAAGAGCACTTCATATAGTCCTCCCCATTGTGGATGGAGCTGGTGTTCAGGATCCCTGTTCTTCCAGGACTTCAGTAGTACCCAATCTTCTGGTCCAGGTGCAGGGTTCTGGTGAGAGCAATCAGTTCAGCCTTCTATACTGAGATACAGTGAAGGAGTGCCTCTGCTTCCAAGATTTCTTGGTGAGTTACCATAGCACATCAAGTCTTTTGTAGGCTCTGGTCCATGAAACTGTTTCCTTCTGTCCATGAATATAGCCAAATCCAAGTCTGATGGAGGCTGGTCTGTCAAGTCAGGTCTGCTTCTACAGGATCTCTTCAGGTATTTCCAAGGACTCAGTGTTTCCTAGCTGTGGTAGCACAGCTTAGAGGGCCCAGCTTGTTCTGGTGGCATCCTGGGTCGAGTTCTCCCTTGAGTTCTCCCTTATCTGCCCACTGGCTGCTCCTGTACCAGTGCTACTGCCAGGAGGGAAGCTTGTTTCACCTTCCATTATTCCTTCCTTTCTCGGGTCTCATCTCATCTGTGAAAAACCTTAAAAGCAATCTCAGTCCAAACTGACACAGGCATTCCTAGTATACCATCCATTATTTGCAGTTTTATCTGGATGCAGAGCACCCTGGGTAATGAAAGTCATTTTACCATTGTTTGGATCTTCTGGGGTCATGTCATTATATTGTCTGTAAGCCTCAAAGATTCTTCCTAGAAACTCTACGGGATTCATTAGGTTTCTGATTTACCTCCTGAACTTTATTAAGGCTTCTCTGTCTTGGGACTCCCTTTTATTATCCCAGTAGTGTGAGATCTTCATAATGATCTAACTTATTTCTATCTCCAGAGTCATTTGAATTCCATCCTAGATCAGCCATTGGAATAGCTAAAACTGCTTCTACCTTCACCAAGTTATTTGGAATGGCTTCATGAAGCCTATGAGTCACCTGCTCTGCTTTTTCCGAAACCATTCTCACTTCCTCAGAAGTGAGGAAGGTGTTGAGGAAGGTTTGTATATCTCCCCAGACTGCACTATGAGTAGTGAAAAGGGAAGAGAAAAGTCGTTCCGTTTTCTTAGGGTTATCCTCATATGAGAGTATATTGTTCTTTCAATTACATAAATCCAAAGTTGAAAATGGGGTATATAAATAGACCAACATCTGAGGCTGTCCTATCTCATGGATTCCTTCTGTATGCACTTGCTGAAAAGGTAATTACCTTCCTTGAATATGAGTTGTCCCCTGGCCTAATTAGGTTCCCTGTGTAGGTGTGAAATGATGAGACCATTCCTTCCTGCTTTTCTGACCCCAAGGGCAGAGTTACGAGTCTCACGTCCTCCACACATGGGAAGTGATGCAGTAGGTGAATTTAACTAAGTCACAGGGAGGTCATCGTTTTTCTCCACCACTGGTTCCTGTAACACAAGTTTCTGGGGAGTTTCCTCCCGTTCCATATAATATTTGATATTATAATTTAAAGATGCTTTCTCAGGCCACTTTGTCCCCTGCAACTAGAGAGTATTGTGGCGAAGCTGTATCACAGAGGAAAATAATTTCCTTTTTCATGTATTCATACCTGAACATTCCGCAGCTTCCAGAAAGAGACATTACACTTAACATGAACACTCACACAAGCTCATATCCACACAGCAGAATAGTTAACAACTATTTAAAACAATTCCAGGATTCCAACAGATTAACGAGACCAGAAGCAGACCAGAAAACAGGAGTAACTGCCTGCGGCATCCTGAACCTTTCTCCTCTAATTTGGGGGTTTCTGCCACCACATGAATCCTTCCAAACAATGCCCAGAACTCTTACTGAAAACCAAAAACAGGACCCGAAAGGGCCAAAAACAGAAAACCTATACTCAGAAGCCTTGAACAGGAGATGGAAATAGGATTTGGTCGCTTT